CTCAATAGGGCCATTATTTCGTGTGCGGTGTGGCATGTGGCACCGTCTTGTTGAAACCACATGTCAGCCAAGTCCAGCTCTTCCATTTTGGGCAAAAAAAAGTTTGTTATCATCGCACGGTAGCGCTCGCCATTCACAGTTACGTTCCGGCCATTGTCGTCTTTGAAGAAGTACAGCCCGATGATGCCACCGGCCCATAATCCACAGCAAACAGTGATTTTTCCGGGATGCATTGGTAGCTCTTGCAATGCTTCTGGCTGGTCTTCACTCCAGATGCGGCAATTTTGCTTGTTAACGTACCCATTCAACCAGAAATGAGCTTCGCCGCTGAACACAATTTTTCGATAAAAATGTGGATCTTCCTCCAACTTTGCCAGCGCTCATTCACCAAATTGGAAACGTTGTGGGAGGTCGTGTGGCTTCAATTCTTGCACCAGCTGTATCTTTTACGATTTTACACCCTAATCCTGTCGCAAAATTTTCCACGTAGTGGAGTAACAGAGGCCCAATTGCTGCGAACGGCGGCGAATCGACATTTCACGGTCATCACTAACACTGGCGGATACAGCCGCAATATTTTCTTCAGTCCTCACTCTACGTCTGCTTGTTGGTGGTTTAATGTCCAATAATGTAAACTGGGTTCGAAATTTAGTCACAAGCTTCCGAATAGCTCCCTCAGTAGGCCGACCAGATTGCCCATAAATTGGAAGCAGTGCTCGATGCACTTTCTTAACCGAGCATGAATTTTGATAGTAAAATTCAATAATTTGCAAGCGTTGTTCGTTCGTAAGTCGATTCATGGTTAAATTATAGACCAAACTGAACAAGTTTGACAATGACACAAGACACGATTCACCCGTCATCTGTCAAAAACAGTGTTGCCAAAAAGTTACTAGCAAAAAATCACCCACTATGTATCCACTCATATCGGCTGAGCGAACGAAGTCAGTTTTTTTAGCAAAGTTTGGGGCTATGTCAGATTCTCAATTTTTAATCTTCTATGCATCTTTTTGATCCTTGAACTGTCCTAAAAAAAGCAATTTCTCAATTTTTTCGAAAGTTGGTTATAACTCAAATTATCGAATTTTAAGAAAGTGCTACATTTATCCTTAAAAAAGAGACTTTTTGGGGTTTCTGTTGAGAATGGATATTTTTTCTCATACTGTTGCATAAAGTGGAATTTCTTGCGCCCGAGAAAAGATTGAAGCACTCATTGCCTCCAGTGGCGTGCAGTAAAAATTTGCTACTTTAACATTATGTAATTTAAACCGAATTTCTAAATTTTACTATGCGATTAAACAGCTTAATGAACAAATCCAAGTTACTACTCTCAATATAAGGGTGTATTCCAGTGGCGTAACAGCAAAAGCAATGTTTGGCATCGCGCCAAGTCTACCCCACTATTGGATAATCAAAGACTCCCAATGGGCACAGGAGCGGGTAAATTGGCATCAGCAGTGGCAAAATTGCATGTTTTCCAATGAAACACCCTTCAACCTACCACTCTGATGGTAGGGTCCTTGTTTGGACCGATATGATGAATAAAACATGGCTCCACAAGAGGCGTTGGTGGAGGTGGCATTACTGTTTGGGCTGGGGTTATGCACAATGGTAAAACCGAACTTTTTATGTGGAACAGGACAGTCAATGCTGCAGTTTATAGTGACAATATTTTGGGGATGATTTTGTCTTCATCGATGATAATGCCAGGCCGCACAGAGCTCGTACGGTTATAAACTTTTTGGCAGAAAATGATGTTATATTATTATTACCTCTGCAATCAAAGTCTCCAGACCTAAACATAATTGAGCGTGTGTGGCCTCCGCTAGAATTTTTAGTGAGGTCAAGAGAAAACGCTCCTCAAACAATGGAAGACCTATCTGAGACCATACAGGAAGTAGATGGAAAACGTATCCAGAGAATTTATTAATAACCTTCTGGAAAGTATTCCACGAAGATGTCAAGCTGTGATCGATATGCGGGGTGGCCCTGAAAGATATTCACAATATTGTTTAAAATAATTGTTGCTGTTTTATAGAAAGTTCGTTTTTGTCATAAATAAATAATTAAGGTATTTAATTGGTCTTCAAATTTTTGTATTCTAAAATGTTACATATTGTTAATGTTAATCAATAAATTATTTGATGTTTAAAAATTTAAGTCTTTTACCTATTGAAAAACATCTCTAATTAAGACGCGTACGCCTATGCTGAATGAGAAAGATAAAAAATTCCAGATAAAAGATGGAGAGCAGTGTTGGCCAGCATTATTGTATTTTGAAGAATGAAATTTTTCAAGTTATTAGCACTTCTTACCAAACCAAAAAATGATTTTGGTATTACGCCACTGGAATACACCCCTATATTAAGAGTAGTGACTTGGATTTGTTCATTAAGCTGTTTAATTGCGTAGTAAAATTTATAAATTCGGTTTAAATCATATAATGTCAAAGTAGCAAATTTTTACCGCACGCCACTAGAGGCACTAACGTGAGTGCTTCAATCTTTTCTCGGGCGCAAGAAATTTTACATTATGCAGCAGTATAAGAAAAAATACCCATTCTCAACAGAAACCCAAAAAATGCTTCTTTTTCAGTGATAAATGTAACACTTTTTTAAAATCCGATAATTTGAGTTATAGCCAACTTTCTAAAAAATTTAGAAATCACTTTTTTTAGGATAGTCCAAAGATCAAAAAGATGCTTAGAATAATTTCCAAGATCAAAAATTGAGAATCTGACATAGCCCCAAACTTTGTTGAAAAAGCTGACTTCCGTTGCTCAGCGGTATAAGTGGATAAATAAAAAAATATACCGATAGAACCCTGTACGTGTTTTCAGAGTTGGTCAAGAACCTTCCAAATACCGCAACTCGATATCTCTTTCCGTTCCGAAAATATCGAGATTTGAATTTCTGGACGTCAGAACTAAACAGTATTAAGTCACACTTTATAAATTTTACAGTATAGCAATCTGAAGAATTTAGATTGTAGAATACGCTATGGACGATGTCCCAGGTATGATGCTAAAATGTATTTTGCTGGCTCCAGTCAATGTTGGTTGAAAGGTATCACAAGCAGTTGTGAAAATACACCCTTTTATTTAAAAATTTTGATTGAAACACAACTTGTGGACAAAATATTGTATGGTTCTGAGAATGGACATAATATCTTGTGACTAAATACCTGAATCAGCGACTTAATACAGTGTGGCTCTCAGTCAATGTTGTACATTTGATGACAAAGTCCTGTACAGCAATAAAGAAATAATTGAAAATAGAAAAAAATAACGTTTATTTGGGTTCTCATTACATAGACTCATTAATACTAACTTTAATAGTAAAATTTAATTATAATAATGCACTCTATGCAAATATTCAACCATCTAGTCATCTTCATGAACTGCCTCATGGCGAAGATTTTTATAATAACCATGGAAGTGCTGCGGCACCCATTTCAATAGTTTTTGCAAATCAGTGTATTTTTTTGTGGAAATTGGTTTTGGATCATTTCTTATGGGCAGCAGCGTGGGCAAACTGGATGTACTGGGATTATTCAATTGTCGTGTTGATCTGCGATTAACTCTATGGTAGTCGATCTGTTCGAAATTTTCTTGACAGAATTTTGTTTTGAAATGCATTACTCCAGGTGTTTCCGCCAAAAATTTCATGTGCACCACTTTTGATACAAAAAATGTTTGGTTTGTCACTGTTTTTTTCTTTGACTGAAAAATACATCCTTGTAGATCATTGAAATTTTTGAAGTTATCTGTTTCCATTTCTTTTACGGCTATATTAGGACCACACAACCTGATTAGCTGCTGCCAATCCCACGGTGTACATATTTGGAACTGAGGTAGTGACTTGATTTGTTTTTCAATTCTTGCATGTACTGTATCTGCCTCCATATGGGTATGTCCGCGCAAAAGAAACTTATGCTCAATGCATTTCAAAGAAGGCTTCATCATAAGTAGGTAAGAATAACACATGATCATCTGCTGGTTTCTATTTTGAGAAGGACAATTGTCGCTCCAAATTATAATCCTTTCAATCGAATTAGGAAGATCTAAGATATATCTCATCATGCATGAAGCCATCTCATTACCTCCACGACCGGCCACTGACTCATCCCAAACAAAGCAATCTGCAGATTTGTCTGTTGCATCATAAATAGTGTAATTAAACGTCCATAATTTGAGGGAGTAGAAACTTTGACAATTTTTTAGCAAAGGTGTAGCAAGACATTTTTGTAAATCAACAGTTATCATTTTTATACCTGGTTGAGCTCTAGCTCCCTCTTTGTCTTTTCGTTTATACTTGTAACGGTTATCAGCATCCAGAAGATGAGCTTCATACTTCTTTTGTAATTCATTTCGCTCTTCCACTGATCCAGCATCTTTCAACTTGATAAGAAATTCATCGCATGTATCGCAGGTGTCATTGTCCGGTTCTTTGAATGACAGATTGAACTCGGTGTTAAATATATCTGCGTATAACCACTGTTTCGGGATTTCTGCTTGACTCAATTTCTTTTCTATACATTCTTCATAAAAGCATTGATACATTTTGGAGATACTGAGATGACTTCCCAAGTAGCGCCTCTGGCTTTTATTCCGTGAGTAATGAGAGTCTACACATGGGAACTTCTGAATGTGTTCTCTTATGATGTTCCTCACTTCAGGACCAATTTTGTTTGGTGGTTCGTGTTTGCCCCTTTGGTCAGGTATCACAACGCCGCTGCTCAGTCTTTTTGTTAATGCAAAGCGGATTGATGTTTGAGAGATGCTTAGAGTGTTGATAAAGAAAGTACGACAGACACTAATCTTTTTGCCGTTCACCGTGAAAAAATATCTCAATGAATATTTGCGTTTACCAGCACGTGACCCAGTTCTAGTACGAACACGTTGCACTGGAACTTCTTCTATGCAACCAGCAATAAATTGCCTTTTCTGGTCCACAAGTAGCTCACTGCTCCAAAACTGGGAATAAATTGAAGCTCGATCATCAGATGAGATATTTAGAGTGCACTTCTTCTTTCTTACAATCAACACCACAGGGTAGTTTCATACTTTTTGCGGGAATTACTTTCTGTTTTGCTGACACATATTCCTCGCCTGCTGCTTTCTTTGTTTTTCTGATGTTGTTCTTCCATTTTTTACAGTTTCTGGAACGTTTTCTTCCTTTTTTTTCAATAGTAGCTGCAGAAGATACAGATTCATTGGAACTACTACATGTTTCGGTTTGGTAATTCAAGTCTGAATGATACTCTGTTAGGACAGTATTGGCAATAGGGTGCTTACTATCACTACTACAACTTTCCAAAGTATCATTTTTTTCGTATTCTTTGTCAACAACTGGAATAATTTCATCTCCTACGTTTTCAGCGAATAGCATCGGTCCATCATTGTTATCTACTGCTACTGCAATCACTTTTACATCACTTGGTATGCCACCGTCCAAAGATTCTGGTACTGCCTCTAATTCCATAAGAATCTCGGTCTCCTCATCACATTGCAACTGCCCTGAAAAGATGAATGCAAACATTACAATCGTTACAATAGAAGACGCCAAGTAGAAGCTATTTCTTCATTTTTATTAAACTTGAAATCGTGCATAGCCAGTGCCATTTATTATTGTTAGCAGATTCTTTGAGAACCAGTTCTGTTTTCGATAGCTAATTTTACTTACAACTATGAACAGGTTCATCTAAAGGCAATAACTGATTGATTTCAGAAATATACTTACCGTCATATACATTCGATAATGAGGTTATGTCATCTTCTTCAGGGGCCCATTCGTCAGGTTTCCGTGACTGTATCATTTCCACAAGTTTTTTGCCTCTAGATGTCATAATGGCAATGATAAGAATCCAAAATTTGATAATCTACTGATGCTTCTAGCTAATTTTATATTAAATATGCTACCTCTCACTGTATGGACATAATATAAACAGCTTATGAAATAAGTATCATGTCCTTTAACAAAACCTCACATTTGGACTTAACACCTCAGAGAATGAGGTTTTGTATAGAACCAGATGGTATCAAAAGCCAATGATACGTTGTAGTCCGTATAAGTGATGGACTTAGCACTATTCAAAAACGATTTCCTTGATAACTGATCGAGATAGGACTTAATACGCATCGGAATCAGAAAGAGCGGGAAAAAGTATAGGAGAATACACAATAACCTTAATTTACCCAAATTGTGGACTTAATACTGTCTGGCTCTGAGGTCCAGATTTGGGTTAAATTTTCCACGTTCCACCAATTTAGTTGAACATCGTATTATGGACAATTCCATATAAAAAATTGCGTCAAGTCGACTCTACACTCCTACGCCTTTTTTGGGGGTTTCAAAGAAGAGGGATGAGTTAAATCGACCTCTGCATATCAAACTATATAACTTATTATGTCTAACAGGTGCATAGCAACACTGAGATCAGCAGCTGCTCAATAATAGGTCTTTCGCTGACACCAAATATGCAGCAATTTACCGCATACAACTTCCAACCTACAATTTTCGTCCCCTCCAAACAAAGTCTAAAAATGATCAGGAATCTCTGAAACGTTGTAATACTTTGTTCTAGCGATTTTATTTTCACCGCCTCTGAATCATTCTTCAAAATCTACAATGAAAGTATCAAACTCGCAATAATATTCGAACTTCGGTTCACAAGCTTTTCCATAAGGTGCCTAAATGAAAGTTCGGTGTATGGAAATGCACTAACAAAATATTTGAAAGAAGCAAAAACAAAGAGGCAGCGTACGATCACCAGTGGCGACGCGTGACTTTTCCTAAACTGTTACCAAAACCAGTTGTGAAAAATCTTATTAAGAAAAGTTTATTTTGAACCTTCCAAATATAAGTTTTTGCTTATTTTAGGTATTTTATTTAAACTATTTTTAAATTAAGGTAAACATTCCTGGACTGAGCGTCTGGGGCACTTGATATACCTCATCGTCTTATGCTATGACTAATCCAAGCCGTCCGAAAAGCCAGTCGACGTTTCTAGATGTTCAGAAAATTTTTGATCTTTTTTGGCAATGAATCTTAACAATTCCCTGTAATTTTCTCTATTGTCAGAGACATCCCCTTCAAAATGAACGGTAATTCCTGCTTTGCCAAAAAACATACGGTATCTAGAAGTGTGCTGCCTAAAAGCTTGGTTAAGACAACTTTCGATTCTTGTTTTGCAAAACTGAATTAAATTGGCTACACATCTCACATGTAACGGAGAAATTTCATGTCTCCTCTTTAGAGCCCTAAAACTATTTAAATCGTCGACTTCGCTGCATTTTATTCTGTATAAAACAGAAGATATCGCCAACAATACAATCTGTTTTTTTACAACCACATAAACAAGAGTTTCCATATACCAAATTAATTTAAAATATCAAACTACGTTTTTTTATTCCTTTTTAAAATTATATAAAATAGGCGTTGGTCTTCCATTTTCAATGATCTCCTTTTTTTAAAAATTATACAAGGAGAATGACTTTTCAAGTACCAAGTCAAAAAAACCTAGGTGTTTCTTCTTAAACTAATACACATGTTTTTCTTTGCTCTTCTCCTTTTTTCTTCTTTCCCTTTCTCTTTTTCCTTGAAATTGTCTGGCTTCTGGGCGACCAGGACTGACAGACTCGACTAACGTACATTAGACAGTGACAAATTTGCAAAGGTCCTACGGACCGCCCAGACAAACAAATGACGAATAGTTTTTCGTGATGTACATGTCATATAACATTAAAAAAAAAATGACTCATTTCCTAAAAGTTTTGCAATTACAATACTTCCCAGTAGGCGCGGGAAGTAAACACATCTAACTCAAACTATCATCCACCTGAGATACATGTTTATTTGGAGTTAATATTTATCGCTATTTTAGGATGTTGGTCACATTGAACAGCAGAACCCACATCAAAGATATCCGCTTATAAAATGTTATATCTGATCTCAAATATTTTCCATTCCAGACCATTATTTATATTTTGTTATCGCTGCTGCGGTGGTGTGTGTATTCCCGTCGGGTTTTCCCTCGAGCCATCTAAGATACATGCGAGGAAAACCGGGCCAAATCTTTAGTCGGGTCGTCAAGTTTTCCTATGCCAAACACGAACTGGTGTGACGAAAATTGAAACAATCACAAACATAAAAAAAAATTAGAAAATAAGGAAACGAGATGGGTAGCACTGAGACATGTTCCTCATATTCCCTGATACACTGCGCTCCTTGAAACTTCAGTGCTCCAAAAGGCTTTGCAAGAGGGTATGTTCGGACAAATTTTAGAACTGTAAGCTCTTAAACAATTACTGAGAAAAAGTCTAAAAACACGATATGGATCATGGCGGGTCTTCTGTCTAAGACGAAAACTACATAAAGACAGAGATCCACCTTCCACAAGTTGTGGGGCGCCCTAAAGCACCATGGCCAGTTGTACGACATACAAGAGCAACAGTGTTTCTTATCTCATTTACTTCGCGTCAAACCAAATTCCAGCGCGCGACGTTCAAATTCGCACGTTCCTATTGGTGAGCGAGCCATGAATGCTTGCTTGGGTTGGCAGCGAATAGACAAGCGAATAGAAACAACGATCGTGAAATTTGACACAGAGCAAATGAGTCTTAAACAAACTATAAGTTGACATACGGAAAGCGCACTGAATTGAAGAGTATATACGAGTAGTAACATGCGGTAGAAAATTTTTCAAATGACCAAAATGCAGATTCTAGTCTGCACGTTCAACGCCATGCAATAGGAGTAGATGCATTCAGAGAAGTTGGGAGATAGCTTCTACAAACTTCTACCGCGCCAAGGAATTATTATAAACGCAAGCATTTTCAACTTTCTGATAACGAGCTTTATTGGTATCTTTATTATGAGGTCTGAAAATTAAGGCGACGTTGCGTTCGATCTGGCAATACTGAAGGCGCCAGGCTGGGAGGGCAGACAGGAGAACATGTGACCCGCCTTCAGCACAAGTTGGAACTCACTCAAGTCATTTGGTTGTCCGTAACGATTTGATTTGTAAAAATTTTCCTATTGTGTTGTAAAAATGAATGACATCAATTTCGAGCAACGGTTGCTTAAGATCGTTGGTTGACAGTTAGAATGATCGGGCACAAGTTAAATTTGACTCCCACCACCAGATCAAGATCACTTCAATAACAACTGAGTGTTGCATCACGATATTGCTCCTTGTCACACAGTAATGCCAATAAACGAGTTTTTAGCCAGTGAAAACATTTCTGCGGCTCATCAGCCTCCTTATTCGCCTGTTTTGAGTCGTTGTGACTTTTGCTCTTCCCAAAGTTGAAAAATTACCTCAAGGGAAGGCCTTTTGGGACAGTCCAAACATTGAATCGGCTGTAACCGACTAGCTGATGGCTATTCCAGTATCCGAGTTCAAGTACTGCTATGAAGACTGGAAGAACCTTCTCCAGCGCTGTGTGGCTTCAGAAGGAAGTTATTTTGAGGGTGACAATATAAAAGATCTCGTATATCAACGATTTGGATGTTTCTATGAGGTCTTCAAAATTCGTACAGTGGCGGTGAAGTTATGAGCAAAAATCAAAATAGTGGCCGATATTTTCTAGGCGTAGTCAAAACACATTTTTAGAAGTGCCATTTTTTTAAATCCTAAAACTTTTATTTTTCCTCATCTCTCAAGTTTCTGGTCACAAGTCGATTAATAAAAAAACATGGTGTAAGGTAATATCAAATAAATTGCAACTAAGACAAATGAATTTTGTCTACCGTACTATAAACGGAAGATGTGTTATCCTTGTAGTAGGGTGCAGCACCAGTAGCCGTAAAAAACTGCCGCATGCAAAGGGAAGACATCGCTCCAGGGAAAAGGAAGAGATAGACAGGGCATTAGCGAAATTGAAAAAATATTTTGGATGGCCTCCTAAGAGGATAGAAATAACAAGGCAAGCATTCTGGGCATAAGATATTAGAAACGATAATGCATGGCGTTTTGAAAAATATCACATACGTAAACATTCAAGTTAAACTGATGTAATTAATCTCAAATAAGGTTAGCGTTAGTGTTTTCTGTTCTTTTCACTAGTATCCTTTGCAGTAAAATTATAGCTGAATAGCTAGTAATATTTCAAAATTCCACATATCGACAAGTATTGTACATACCTCCTAGCAACTCTTTTATTAAAAAAAATGCTATGACCAGAAAGTCAGGTAGAAATTAAATAAAATAAACAGTTATTGACTGATAATCATCTCTACTTTTTAGAACTTGAAACACAATATGATTTTGAAGGGCAGTGAAACAGCCATATTTGAATTACGTTACACTGATGACGGAAAATTCACCAGGAACACTTAATCTATATTATTTTTACATGTAAAATTACAGCTACTGGAAAGGACAATGCAGTCTGTTCTACTGACTTACCTCGTAATCAATAAATCCCAAATGTACTATAATAATTTTCTAATATACATTTTTCTATTTGTACTTCGTATATTTCATTGTCAAAATTCCCTGTTACTAAAAGCATCT